CCTGAATTATTTTCACCCGCTCGAACACTGGGAGTGTGGGTTCAAATCCCACTCGAGGCATGGTTGTCTTATTCTGTGTTTGTATTGTTCTGTGGGCAGGTAGAGGCCTTGCGACGGGCCCATCTTCCGTCCAAGGAGTCCTACCGAATGTGTATAGACTAAGAAACTGAAAAAGCAACCGAGGTCCACAAGGGCTCTAGAGCCGTAGGTAGTAGGTATGTAGGTAGGTAGGTGGGCAGGCAGGCAGGTAGGTAGGTAGGCAGGCAGGTAGGTGGATAGGTAGATAGGTAGGTAGGTAGGCAGGAAGACAGACCGATAGGTAGGTAAGTAGGTAGGTAGGCAGGTGGGTAGGTAGGTAGGCAGGCAGGTAGATGGGTAGGTCGGCAGGAAGACAGGTTCATAGGAACATGTCCTATGAACATGTGGATCCTATATTTCGGCTTGAGCTGGCTTCACGAGGACCGGACAAAGAACACCAGGTAAAACAGTTCATTACTTTCTTATTCGCCGTTGTCACGAAAACGTGTTTCAACAAGCCGCTGTCTAACAATGGCCGTCTTTTCTAACTTCATTACTCCGGCATTAGGACGCCATGTCACAATATTAAAATGCAGGCCTGTGAACAAACTGCACAGAGAAGGCGATTGTGTGTCAGAAACTACCGGTTACACTCGGAAAGATTTTGCGAATTGCTCGGAAAGTGTGATAACCCATATCACTCCCTCTTCACTGCCGTTTCTTGTGAAATGCACCGTTGCCACGCTCGAGCTCGTCTCCCTGAACTTCACAGAACATAAGTGGAATGAAGCACTAGAAAAGGAAACAAGAAGCCCGCCCATAATAAAGGACAGATGAAGGTTATGATTCGCGGAACTCACAAATAGAATACAGTCGCGCTGGAAATGACAGCCCGAAATTGCATTTCACATGGCATTAAAATATGCCTTGGCCGTCTGTGTCGATAGCCATGTTGCTGCGATAGAAGCACAACGAGGGCACCGCAAACAATTAATGCCCCTTCCCCTCCCACCTGCATTTAATTTGGTTCAAACTAATTGGATTTGCTTTAAAGGCTGCGGAATTGTGCCACTCGCAAATATGAAACGTTTTAGATTCAGCTAAAATTTAAGTCCACCCGGATCTTTGGGATTGCTAATACAGAGTGCCCGGATGAAACGTACCGAAAATAGAATAATTATATCTCAGAAAGAATTCAATATACACATTTATGGGTTACACCATTACAAAGAGAAATTATCAAAGTTTTTTCTGAGTATATAACTTTCTCAATAAATTTAACTGTGGGCTTTAACTTGGTGGCACGACAAATATCCAGGCTTGAAACATGTTTGGTGTTACCGTAGCCACAGCGGCCCTTATGCGGGCTTTCAGGTGGTGAAGCTCGTTGATCTTAACCTGGTACACACTGTTCTTCATATAACCCCACAACAAAAGTCCACTGGGGTTAGGACCTGGCGACCTAGGAAGCCAAGCGATTGATCCACGTCTGCCGATCCATCTTCCAGCCATCTCTCTGTCCAGGTGATTCCTAACATGGTGGCAAAAATGTGGAGGCGCATGCGCGTAAGTCGGGCATGGGTAAAAAAATTCAGGGTTTTCCTTTCCGATGACATAAACCGGATACGTGTATGAGAGTTTCCGAGATATATATTTTTATTTTGGATACCTTTCATCCGGACACCAGATATTAAAGTTTCCGCCACTTTTAAGAGAGCAATAAAATTATGACAAACAGATGATACGTAATTTCTTAAACATTCTTGTCTATAGATTTTGGCGACGTCTGTGTGATATTACTTCTGCTTTTGGGCTATCGCAAATAAGCTAAAACATAGATAAAGGTCGCCAAAATCTATGGACAAGAATGTTTAAGTAATTACATATCATATGTAATTATATATGTAATTACATATAATAAGCGACAAGAAGACGAGGAAGAAGACGTAAGACGATGCTGGATGACCCTGGGGACAGAAGGGGATACTGTCATTTGAAGGAGAAAGCTCTAGATCGCATTAAATGGGGGAATTGTTTCGGAAGAGACTGTGGACCTGTCGTCTTGACAGATTACTGATGATGATGATCATGATGATTTATGCGCCGAGTCAACAGCCACAAGGCCAATTACAGACAGAGCACAGTGTAGATACCGGTACGTACATTACGGACAAACACAACATAAATTAAAAGATAAATTACAGTCAAGCACACGTAGGAAGAACACATTAATGCAGAAGAGTAAACAAACAAAGATAAGAGGCAGCAACAAGAACTACATAACACAGAACATTAGGATTGTGAACAAATATTATTAACAATTTTAGGTTGATGAACATAAATGTGATTGAAACGGCACCGACTGCAAATATATCGAGACCTTTAGCCACCGCGTTGGCAGCACAGGCGCACCGAGTGGACGGACGGTGTTTATTTCAGGGACAAACACCAGATAATGAGAAGTTCCTAAGATTGCTGGGAGGAACATGAAGGTCACCGTAATAATAATAGCTAATTAATTAATGCTTCCACTTTTAACCAGAGTACTATCACGTCTACCTCACGAAACCGTGGCCTGCTACCACATGGCCCCTCACCATTTCCTCTCCGTTCTGCATATTACAGTTCTGATGCTCTGTTGACAGTTTCCTATTCAAGGCGGCTGCAAATCAATACCATTCTTCGAGAACTTGAAGAGAGAGACACAGTTTGAATGTGTTTAGACGTGTTTCTACATGAACGAGGAGACTCGGGGCGACAGGATTCACTCAGGCAGCAAAGAAGTGGTTACGCGTCTCACAAATATTTGGAAAGCAGCAGATCCACGGGAAACACGGACAGTAAAATAGTGAAGTACTTCGTAAAAGTAAAGGTATCCCTGTAGCAGGCCGTGGAAGCCCATAGGGTTGTGAGATATTGAGGCTCCCACATTTTCTAGAAAATCGGCTCAAAGATGGCGGTAAGGTAGTCAGGCCTACACGCCGGCCGCCCTTTACCCCCAAGGATATTCCTGGTACTCATTTCTGCTAGAGGCTGAGTCGACCCCAGGGCCATAGTGCGGCTGGAAGGGTTAGGTCAATTGAAAAAATCTACCTCATCGGGATTCGTTCTCGCGACCTTCCGGCTTGTAGCATATTGTCTCAACCATCTACGATACCACGTGCCCCGAGCATGGGACAAAATCTCCGCGCACTATATCTCTGAAATCAAAGAAACAAACATTCACGTTTTCCTGGAGCATGGCCATCTCAGGCTCATAGTAAGACACCAAATTTTCAGTCATAGGAATGACTTTAGTCAGTCTTCCTCATGATCCTCTATTCGTTTCGAACGATCAGCTCCAACTTTCCTCCTCCGGTGCACTTTATCCTATGTGAAGCTCTTGGGCACAAGTCTCGAACAAATTTTAATCTTCTTCATTTCCAAATTATCCGTCAAAATTAATCGTACATTATCTCTTCTGATACTAAGTTCTTCTGAAATCATTGCGACAGCGAGACGTCTATTATTCCACGTCACAATCCTCACCCACTCGACGTGTTCAACCGTCCAGGTCTGCGGTGAAACTGAACTGCGTCCCTTCCCCTAGAAACCGTTCATAACAACGTGTGTCTGCTCTTTATGTAGCCACTTCCCAATTTGTCTGCTTTAACACTTCAAAGATTTCAGTATATAAATCTCGAATTTGGAACAAAAACTTCATTTTGAGTCTTTTTTTCGAGATATTCATCACCAATTTTTTTGTGACTACCTATTAAAATATTTCGTCAGCCAAAACACAACAGCCCTACACTCGCTAGATTTGTCGAGACAAGTCTCCGTTACTGTGTCAAATTCAGAAATTTACTTATAGGTGGAAGTGTCAACCATCGACCATAGGGTGACTCACGCTTCACCATGTGGAACGGTTTTTTTATTTAATTTTCAGACTTCGTATATTAAACATTATGTACAACAAGATTATGGTCTTCAGTAACAGGATGCTGTGTAGTTGGTAGATACCAGACTACATGGTGACACGAGTCGGAAGATCCATAATATTGACATCAACAATACTTTGCGTGCGTCATTCATCTCCCGACATGCCACCCGGTGCTATAGAGTCTAGTTACTGACAGTGCCAATAAACAAACCGCAAAGAAACAGTCAGCTTTCCCGGAGCCCCGAATCTGATATTGTATTGTTAATATTTCTCTTCATGCAAAAAACAAACTCCGTGGTTTTAGTCCGCAAGCGAACTATACCGACCGAGCAACCGCCGCTTATCGGCAAAGTTAGTGCTAAATTTAGCGGATAGAGGGTGTCGAGTGGTCAGTGCGACGAATCCTCACGGCAGTCAATGCCGGCCGGCTCATAAGGCTGACAACCTTACCGCCATCTATGAGCCGATTGTCTAGAAAATGTGGGAACCTCAGGTGTATGTGAGGTACGTGTGAGCCCATACACTGCTCTAGTTTCGGTAGCCGCATTACAGGACTGATTTGTTTCAGGGGAAGAATCTTAACGCGATTTTATATTTAAAGTTGGGTCAACGCGTTTGTCGCATTCGTCTTTAAGGTGGAAGATGGGAGAACAATAAAATTGGTGCAGAAGTTCCTCTGAAACTTTGGTAACCACTCTCATTACTATATACGGCTGTAAGTAGATGATAGAACTGACATATTTCAATATGGAACTCTATACGTCGCACTGTTATTTTCATGTGGTAATTCACCATAACGGTACAAATGAATCTGGAGTATAAACTATGCGGTTTCCTTTCATACAATAACACAGCATTATTTTCTAAAAATAACGTTTTATTTGCGCTGCTTTTAAGTACTTACCCCGGGAACATATAACTTGCGAGCGATAAGAAGATTAACAGGAGAACAAAACACTGAGAGAGTTTAAAACGAACTAAGTTATAAAAATGACTGAAGAGAAACAGCTGAAGAGACTTGCATCTAATTATTAATGACTGTACGAGTAAAACTTCTTACCAGGCAGTATAAGGAAGAATATTATACAGAAGAAACGCGATGCATTGTGGAGTACGACTGGTGGCTGTTACCAATGAACGTCTATCTATCCTGCGAGGAATCGATCCTTTGTCTGAAAAAAAAAAAACAGGAACTCATCAGAACACAATATCATGCGCCAGCTTATAATTTATAATTATAAGCTGGATAAACTTCTCAAAGTATAATTAGAATGATCAAGTCAAGGAGGATGAAGTGGGCAGGGCATATAGCATGAATTGGGGAGAAGAGGAATGCATATACGATATTTGTGGGAATACCAGAAGGAAAGAGACCACTGGGAAGACCAAGGCGTAGGTGGGTGAACAATAATTGGATCTTAGGAAGTCATGGATTTGATTGATCTGGCTCAGGATAGGGACCAGTGGAGGGCTCTTGTGAACACGGTGATGAACCTTTGGGTTCCATAAAATGCTGGGAAATTCTTGAGTAGCTGCAGAATTGGCGGCTCTTCAAGAAGGGCTCGGCTCCATGAGTAAGTAAGGTGGATAAAGTGGCATGCTTAAAGCATTGTTGTTCTCTTTGTATGGTACGCTACAAGAGTTAGAGCACCACATTTTCTTCCTTCAGATTTGGTTAATTTCTTATTCCTTTCATTTTCCTCCTCCTCCCTCGTTCTCCTGTCGTCGCTTTCTCTCTTCTTCTTTCTGCCGTGATGGATAGATTTCTATCCATTAGCTGCAGACATTGTTAGTATATGCTTCCGCTGTCGCTTTACCGAATGCTGCAGATGTTGGAATTCCCATCCGATCAGCGAGCTCCATTTCGATATGTGTTACATTCAATCGTGCTGAAAGCACGGATAACATAGACCCAACATACATACATCCGTGACTTCCGTTACGTCTTCAGTCCCTGTTTCACATACGAACAACCTCAGAAGTGCGACCGGTTCTGAATCTCCCAATCTGCATCAAATGCTAACAAAGTGTAATGTTGAAACTAACTCTATCTCAGGTGCCTGTTAATTTCTCTTCTGATCAAGAGGCTCCGTAACTTCTACATAAATAGAAGGTCCGTTATCATGTTCATGTTGGTGCCTATCTGGAGACAAACCCAGCTCAGAGCTTTCTTTTGCTACTGGCGTGCCATCTATGTCTAATCTTCCAAATAATCTTTTCCACTACATTTTTCCGAAACAAGAATCCGTATGTATTTCTCACCTCTTCCTTCTCTGACACATTTTCTCTCATGATAAAGTATATACGTGGTAGTCATTAAGTTCGTGGACTGTGGTTTTATCGCCTCATATTACAATGTTACAATGTATTCACATACACTTACACAGACCCACATTGGCCCTCAAAATGGTTGCCGTTGGCCGCTATGCAAGTCTGCCAACATTGATACAGCTGCCGAAAACATTGCTGAAACTTACTGGCAGGAAATTCCCGTACGGCGCTTTGCGGCCATTCCACGAACTTATTGACTGCGTTGATATAGATACACAGTTACAAATAATAATATCATTTTCTTCAAATTTTCAAAGGTTTTCTGGGCTTGGGTCGAACCCACAATTTTGTCAGAGTCATTGTCTGCAGTAATAAGTCGTCATAATGTAAAGGATATTTACATTTTATATGTTAAGCATGTTAATAAAGGTATATAAAATATATACAGGGTCTCCTTCACGTAATCTCATGTGGTGAAAAGAAATTAAACAAAATTTTCAGTCAACCACTGAAATTATCAAGTTTATTTTTATGTTCATCTTAGTGCCCTGCACATCTGTAGCATGCATGTGTGACGTATGTGGGCGCACACTCATTTCCACGAGAGTAACACGCATATAATACTTGTCAGTATTAGTTTACACTACGCGTTATGGTAATTTTAACATTCTGCTGAAGAAATGTAACACCACTTTCAAATTTATCCTGTTAGCTTTAGTCAGTATTTGTTTTATAATTGGGATCGTATTAAAATTGTCCTGTTTTAAAATGCACGTTGAATGAGCAGCGTATGAAATAGTTTACAAACTACAGAGTAATTAACTCAGACACATGTAATATAATTCTTAATTTTAATGTTAGTTTTAACCCGCATTTTTAATACAATACGTATTTATTTACACTGTTTCAGACGACCTAACTGACATATCAAAAATTATTTAATAATCTGACAATAATAAATTAGTATATTGTTGTGTTAAAGTGACTATAGAGGGAGGGGTTCGAATTGGTGAATAAATTTATTTAACAGATACAGGTCGTAACTACAGACGACTGTAACACGTTCAGTTTCGATGTCTCCTGTTACAGAGAGCGAGAGAGGGGAGTCCCCAAATCCAAGATGTCCGACAGTCTAACCGACACGATTAAATAAAATTCTCTGTTTTACTAAAAAGACCTACCCGACAAGACGATATGAAAAAACTCATGAAACTGCAACTAAAGTCTGGCAACGGCATAGACTCTAATTTTGAAGGCAAGAGAATTGACTTTATATCAGAGGACTCGAAAGCAAAGATGCTCTGTTCTCAGAACTCGCCTTTCTTGTTTTAATTTCTGTTCTTTGACGCGATAAGAGACGTGAAACTTTCTCTTTGATATCTGACACTTCAGATTTCTCCAGCGTGGTCCTTCCTTTTCATGGTCAGGCGATTTGTATCTGCATGTTATGCTGTCTTATTGAGGAAATGCAGTCTAGTCTCGTATGAAATTTGATGAATCCGGTATTTTACTATGTCCACACGCCTATGAGAGCCTTATTCATACACGTTCGGTTACCTACACAGTGACTGTTTCATACTTCGGCTTAGCTGGAAACAGGAAAGTCAAAGCACAGTCCGCACTGAAGTGTGCACACCTTAACATAGGCCCACTTGATGTAGACAAATTAAAGCGTTCTCCTCTGAAACTGTTAGGCTGCTATTATGTTTTAGTCCCTGTTGAATACTGTTGCGAGCGCTCGCAGCCAAAAAGGAAGGACACATCACAGACACAGTACACATAGAAACGACTCCCATAGTGGACGAACCGTACTATACGCGAGTTTGAATTAAGATATATAGATGATTAATCTTAACAAGTTTTAGTATATACAAATTTTATTATAGTTGACGAATAATGTAATAGCTTAGCGTAAATAACGAACCTGAGGATGGCACTATGTTGCCGAAACATGTAGTAAGAAGTGACATATGACATTGAGTGCACTACAAAATGATCATTACATACAGATCATGGATGAAAATCAGGACGCTAAAATACAACATTAAGAGAAGTAAAACTATCCATCTTAAAAGGCCGTGGAGGTCCATAGGATTGTGACACGCCGAGGCTCCCACATTTTCTGGAAAGTCGGTTCACAGATGGCGGTAAGGTTGCAAGCCTTACGCGCCGGCCGCCCTTTAGCCCCAAGAATATTCCTGGTACGCATTTCTGTTAGAGGTTGAGTCGACCCCAGGGCCATAGTGAGACTGGAAGGATTAGGTCAATTGAAAATCCAATGACTTCTTTTGGAATCGAACCCGCAACCTTCCGTCTTGTTGCATAGTGCCTCAACCAACAACGCCACTGCGAGCCCTGTAGCTTACGTTTTTCAAGTACGCCCCAGGACATTAATTTTCGTAGCAAAAATGTGAACTACTCTTTATATGTCCATCAGCCTACTGGACGCATTTTGGCATATACATGGTTACGGATGAAGGTAGCATAACTCGCTGACATTACAATTTGCAGTCTAGCGTGTGTATATTTTATAAATCTCTTCTTTTCTTTTTGTTACAGCGGTTATTTAGGGTCATACCGCTTCTAGTGTTTTTAACGTTACCATAATTTTTATTCTTAATGTGATAGCATGCTTTACATTGCTACCAAACTCCCAATTGCTACCACAATTTCCGCATTTAAGCAGTGGCTCTAATGTCGCTTCCGCCTGCCAGATTCTTCCGTCCGCAACACTCGTTACAGACTATAAAATTAAAGGCTATGATTTCCCGCAACCCGCATTGCCACTTGTCAGATAGCACAGAAATCAGCCTACCAGTTCTCTAGTCAGGACAGGAGCTCGCACAGAGCGACGGCAGGACCGACTGACAGACGGAAAGATAAGACCCTTCCTCTTGTGACATGACACTCGAAAGCAGGAATAGAAAAGTCAGAATAGATGTTCACTGCTAGGCAACGACTAGGTAAATACATTCCCGCTGCAAAGAATAAGCAAGCAACAATCGAGTAACTTCGGTTGCTGTACAACGGTGATGTACACACGCCTTCCCAACAATAGAAAGTCTGTGTTTTCTGCGTGGCCCGTGCAGAGTTCAGTTGAGAGGAACAGTAACAAAATTATGCATGCAAAAGTAAAAATGATTCAGAATCATGATAATGAAAATGTTCGCAATATTGTACAAGGCGAAGCTGAACAAAAAATTATAAGAGTTTTAAACCTGACGACGCTCAAGCATCTGCATAATAAGGAACTTCATAACTTGTACTCTTCTCCGAGTATAATTAGAATCATCAAGTCAAGGAGGATGAGGTGGGCAGGGTATGTAGCATGAATGGGGAAGACGAGGAATGCATATAGGATATTGGTGGGAAAACCCGAAGGAAAGAGACCACTGGGAAGACCAAGGCGTAGGTTGGTTGACAATATTAAAATGGATCTTAGAGACAAAGGATGGGATGGTATGGATTGGATTTATCTGACTCAGGATAGAGACCAGTGGATGGCTCTTGTGAACTCGGTAATGAACCTTAGGGTTATGTAAAATGCTGGGAAATTCTTGAATAGCTGCAGATTTGGCTTCTCCTCAAGAAGGGCTAAGCTCCATAAGTAAGTAAGTAAGTAAGTAAGGCGGTCAAACATACGACCGTTCAAGTGACTAGACTGCCGTTGTAGCGGAAGCTACTAGAATTGAAGCATAATCTGCTGTACTAAGCCTGGACTGACAAAGGCACTGTATATAATTTATATATATTTATTAACATGTTTAATATGTAAAATGTAATTATGCTTTACTTTATGAAAATGACTTAGTATTGCAGACAATGACGCTGACAAAAGACAGACCCGTCCTCTCGTCAGAGAAGGCACCCCTCAATAACAAGACCGTAACTATCAAACAGT